AAAGAAAATTGCTGATTAATTGCATATTCACATTAAAGGGGAAATCACCTGCACCTCAGATAAACATAAACCAAACTGTAGCCTTTGAACAGCCTGACCAGTTGGCCAGTAACATTCTAAACTCTGTGTTGTCCACATACAGTAAGTTAAATAACAAAGACTTACTCTCAGAGAATACTGCTATATTCTCAGCTGAGGACAGGATTCCCCTTCAGTCAAGGTAAAAGGATAACTATGTCACTGTTAAAAGAACAGAGAAAATGCAATCAAATAAATAGCTTATTGTTAAAAATTAGGGACTCAATGCACGTAACAGGATTAAAACCAGAACTGGTTTCATCTAACCAGGAAAATACACAGAATAAAAGAGTTCTTTTTTTTTTAGGCTTGTGTGCCAGATCACTGTCCAACACAGACAGTAGCACTTTTATAACTTTTTATAGTCACAGTAATAAAAAATTAACAGTAAGATAGGGGGATGTATGCATTTGTGTGATAAGCTTAGAGTTAAGCTAGTAATTTTCCATACAGTTACCTATTTTCAGTTAAGATGTGCAGCTAGATGACATCCTTTACACAACAAGAAAAGAAATAATGAATGGGAAAATTGGAAACACACAGACTGAATTAACAGGAAACGTCTCTTTCGCCTCATATCTTTTAACTTAATTATTTAATTAATTTAATTTTATTCATTCAGTATTTTTATTTTGGGAACAGCCAATGGACAATCCTTTTTTCATATATGTCTTGTCATGAAATTGCTGCTATTTATTTTGGAGTAGAAATAACAATCATGAGTTATGCTTTTTTTTCAGCCCAAGGCCAGTTTGCTACAAAGCTCTATTATATGCAATTACAATTCAAATTTAATCCACAATTTTATCTATGTGGAAAAGCCATGCTTCCATTAGAAGCCTAACAAGACTGTACTTAAGAGTTTCACACTTACTGTGTCTCAACTTTCAGGCCATACATAAAATACTGTTTTACTCTAAATTATTTTTAACCTACCTACTTTGAAGATCACTTTCCCTCACTGTACATTTATGTCACATATCCTGAAGAGGGATCTCTACACTGCTACTTCATAAGTTTTTTTCATGGGAGTATTTGAATAATTTCCACACTTTAAATTATGCTTAGGCTCATTTGGTCTTTTAGGCAACACCTATTTTTCTACTAGGGCAGATAAAGAAGGCAGGACCAAAAGCACCAATTGTCTATGAGCAATTAAAGTTTCATGGGGAAGAAATCTTAGTTGCAGGACCAGCCTAAGAAAGGAATTTCACTGGAAGTCCTCTTTACTTTTGCTGGGGGTGTCCTATTAAAAATATTTTTAAAACACAGAAAATATGTCCAAAACAGTGTATGAGTGTAATTTTGGGTAGTATAAATGGACACAGAGAGGAGTCAAAGAACACAATCTGATTTGAATAAACACCAGTGTG